TTTACTATAAAAATGAATTGCTGGTTATTTCACTATAAAATACATTGTTGGTCATATTGTTGGTAAATATCATACCCCCCACACGAAAATAGATGCATGTTACTGCAAATACAACACTGCAAATGACTTAAGCTGAGGAAAAAAAAAATAGAAATCTATTACACCCTGTCACTCCAGTGGGTCTAAATCTGGCCGTATGGTGAAAGAAAGGAAACTAAAGTGGTTGTTTTAATTAATTTGCATAAGGATGTAAATGCAATACCAATCGCTATCATATGTCTTTCTGAATCGTGTTTATTTATTATCCCTTTCCTCACCTCTTGTTAAATACTTTTCGTTCTCTTTCACTCTTTGTAACACCCTGCGGTGTAGTAACATTGTCGCCTTGCTCGGTGTGAAACGAATTCTTCTCGGGAAATATTGCCAAGAAATGTTTATCTATATAATTGGTATTCTATTTATATCCAATAATTCTTTGTAGTTCATGTTTTAGGAATAAGTGGTATGGACGAGATGTGCTACAGTAGTCATGGTAAATAAATCTAGTTTTAACCACTGCATCATTTCAGGGTGTTGTGTACTAAGATTGTTTGTTTGATTTTTGTTTTACGGCATATCAACACCTCAATGGGTTATTTAATGCCGGCAAATTTTTTTTATTGCTGGTAATATATTTTTCTTCAAAAATCTATTTCTGGGAATATTTTTCCTTAAAGAAATCTATAGCTGGTCATATTTTTTTCAAAGAATGTATAACCGTTTGTATTCCTGGTATTTTGTTAAAGTATTGCTGATAATAATTTTTTCCTCAAAAATTATTTCTGGTAATAATTTTTTTTTTATTACAAAGTATTTCTGGTATTAAAACCTATTTTTACACAATTTTGTGTGTTAACTATTTGCCCATAGCCGGGACCCTAACAGGTGATACCACCCGGGTCAGAGTGGACCTGGGAACACCAGCAATTAAGAGGTAGTTTCACGCTCCTCGAAACCTCCTGATCGGAGGTCTTGCTGTTGGACGTAGTTTATCGTCTTACCGAGGACATGGATGTAGTTTATCGTCATACCCAGGACGCGGATGTAGTTTATCGTCTTACCAGGACGATGTGTACTAAGACTGAACAGTTTTGGTCTGTAAAGATTGAACTAAAAAAATAGTTTTCCCCTGACTAACACATAGAGTACTTGTTTCTGTATTTGCTTTACATCGGCAACTATTCTGAGCGGACCTGAATTAGAGTTTCTGTTAGAAAGCGCATTATTTGTCGTAATCAACAGAATAAACTATAAAAAGAATACCCGCTCGGCCCGGTGGCTAGGATCAAAGTGTAGTATCTGCGCTTTGTGAGCTGCCGGGTCGGGTGTCTGTCGATCTCTCTGCTTGCAGAGAGGAACCCGGACGAAGCTCCGCCGAAGGGTAGGGTTTCGTTGGGGGAGGTTGACGGAACTGACCCGCCTCGGCGGGTTTGGATGGTTATTTATTTTGGGCTGGGCCTACGGGCTCAGAGATACCCACATTAAAAAGGCCTTGTGCCACATTCGATCCCCGTGGGTGGATTGATAAATACCATCAAGAGTCTAAACGAGGCCAGTAACTTTCAAACCCTCGGTCACAACGACTTGCAACTTCATGCTTGCTCAACTATCGTCGATTTCCAAATAGTTCAGTCTACAGGAATTCACTCACAAGGTTTGGTTTTACCGACAACATCAATATGTCAGTCAACCATAGACCCCACCTCCTCGGGTCTCACGGTAAAAAAAACAAATGTTCTCACTACTCGGTCAGTATATCATAACAAATAATATTAAAATCTTGTTGGATATTCTGATACAAACCGATAAAATTTTACAGCACAATAAACCATGTAAATGAATATAGTTTTAACCACTGCGTCATTTCAGAGTGTTCTATACTTAGTCTGAACAATTTTGGTCAGTAAATATTGAACTAAAAAAATAGTTTGCCCCTGACTGATACATAGAGTATTTGTTTTTGTATTTGCCTCAGAGATATTATGTATCTGTAATCCTACAGTTTTGTCTTTTTGTTGATTTTATTGTATTTTCCAGATTGGATCAGTATTTCTTTTAATTCTACTCGTCTATTGATCGACGAATCAAAATAGAGTTCAGATTGATTCGCTCCATTTCTTCTTTATTCTCAATATACGCCATCTTTTTAACGAAAGGCTTTATATTAGTTTATTATTGTGCTGCAGAGGATATTATGTTGGATACTAGTAAAACTTTTATTTTCAGGTCACCACTGGTGACCTAAGAATAGAAACCAATCCCTTCACTTTTCACCGACAGACTATATCCAGTACTTTGCCAAATATCCTCGCTGTTCGGAGCATATAAGTTTTGTTTTTTGGAATGGCTCGATTTCCAAATCACAATCGAAAGTCAGCAAGACATTTTTCCAATTTTTTGTAGAGTGCTCCAATAATAACTGTTAATGTAATTATTTTCTTTGCTAGTCCTTCTCAAACTTTCAGAATTTCGTGCTTTAAGTGATTGTAATTGTTGATCGTTTCATTTTCTTTGCATTCAGTGTTAAATAGAGAGAAGGTCGCCATTTTTTTTCTGTTTGTCCAGCAAGACTAAACATTGTTTACTGTGCTGTACAGTTGTATCTGCTTGTTTCAGCATATCCAATAGGATTTTAATGTTATTTGTTATGATATACTAGCCGAGTAATTAGAACATTTGTTTCTGAACTTGAGACCCGGGGGTCTATGGTCGAATTGTCAGGAAGATGACATCTTAATGATGGCGGACATTAGAGTGGAAAGTTCCTGAAAACCATTGCACGCGTTGAACCAAACATTGTGGGTGAAATCGAGTAGACGGAGCTATTTGGGGACTGTCAATGGTTGTGATAGCACGAAGTCACAAGTCATCGTGACCGAGGGTCACGATTATTACTGAAGAGATTTTCTTATTTCTTACATGTTCTTTGTTCACAGATGATCATCAAGTCTTCTATTGTTTCCAGGTATCTTTCATGACCGATTGTTGTGCTTTTGTCAGACAGTTTTTTGTGAACTAAGCCTCTGCTTCCTTCGGATCTGGACGCATGCAAACGAGCAATATTAGTTTTAAGATGATGCATGCTGTAGCAAGTTAGAAACTTTCTCGTTTTGACATCGATTCGATTAATGTCAGCTTTGGTCGAATTAAGGATGTTGAAACTCTATTGCCCCACAGGGGCAACCACAGTGTTTATGGCTGTTATTCTGTTTTGCAAATTTAACTCGGTATTTAACACCAGACACACACACCTGTCGCATTTTTTTATTATATTTTCCTTTAACGCTGTATTCAATTTTATTTGCTGATTCTTAGCTATTGATAAGCTTCTACTTGTTCCACTTCGCTATTCTTTGTGACAAAGTCTAGATCTATTACGTATGTTTCTGTAATTTTTCTTTTCTTGGATATTACTTTTTGTTATGGGAACTTACCCATAATAATAATGGACTATTCTTGACATTATAAATACTGCGCCTCTCAAGAGGTATGAGGATATTGTAAGACGAGGAGAGATAATTGAGAGCATATTGTAAGGACAATGGAATAGTGATACTTGTCGAGACAACATAGTTCACTCTAACCAAATTTGATAGTCATTACTAATACTTCTTCTTCTTTGTATTATATTTCTGTTGTAATATATCTTTGTATTCCATACCTGTGTTCGTGTTATTCTTTCATTGGTTCTAACCATCACCGTGGTACATGGAACTTGGACCATAACACTTTTGCACATTTATCTAATCCGAAATTCATATCGATATCATCACTGAAGCATTTGACCGAGGAGATTTTGGACATTTCCAAAGCCTTAAGGAACCAAGAGTGTGGCACAATATCAAAGATTTTACGGTAATCTATCCAAACTGTGGTGAGATTTCTAATTTTTTTCTAGCAATTTTCAAGGACCATTTTATTTATTAGTATTTCATCTTTGCAAACTTCATATAGTTCTTCGACGCCCCTTCTGTTCCAAGGAAAGACATTCTTTCTGTTCCAGACGAAAAAGTTTTTTTTCTCAAGAAAAGAGCAAGTACATTTTTTCAGGATAATTGCGATCAACTTATATGTCGTAGGCAGACATGTTATTGGTCTATAATTATTTGATCATCTGTTTCACCAGTTTTTTTGTAGGAGATATGTAATACCTTCAAAGATACATTTTGGAATTTTATTGCGTTTGTTAATTAGCGTTGATAAAGTTTGTTCAAGAGTTTTAAGGATTGATAACATATGATAGTGCCAAAAGTTTTGCACCTTGTGGTTTCCTGGGGATTTCCATTTTGAGGATTTTGTTATAGCTTGCCTAACATTATTCTTGGTTATATTTTTCCATTCTTTGCAAGGTTTAACCTTCATTCTTTCTTGTTCTCGTTTGATCCACTCTGGGATTATATTCATTTTGGTTGCTTCAAATATTCCCTCACCACCAAAAAAACGTTTGCACTTCTTCAATAGATGGTGACCTTTTGACTTTTATAACTGATTTTTCAATTTCCGTTTGGAATCTCTTATTTTGGCGATAGAAACTACAACGCTTTTCATATCGTCATCGTCTTCTTTTTCGTTTTCCTCCTCTTCTTCTTCCTCTTATTATTATTCCTTTATTCCATAGTTAGCACGTAAGTTATTCACTGCCATTGCATCAGACAAATAATGAACAATTACGTTTTGATTTGGAGGAAAGACGGATGAAAAATATACATTATAAGAGCTGTTTGATTTAAGAGAAAGAAAGAAAAAGAAACATGACGGGGAATACAGAGAATGTGATAAAATGTTTCATGTTTTTAATGGGAAACCTTTTCAATTTGGGCTCTTTTCACTAGTAGGCTTTACTTTGAAATATTGACCTGCAATCGTACTAATGTAATAATACGTTAAAAGCTTGAAGCTCAGATATATAAGGAGGTAATGCTAGTACTCAGCAGTTTTTCACAGTGTGATTATAGAGGTGCATGCTGGGATTTATCCAATTGCTCAGTAAATACGGACAATTCTTGGTCACGCAAACACATTTCTTTCTGGCCTTGAAGTCCTAAGTCGACAAATATTTGATTGTATCCTGTTTCTGTTTGATCACTCTCTCTTCTTTATCTACAACTTGTCTGAAGTTATTAAGCAAATTATATAAACGTCAGTTATTCAAATTTATTTTGAAAAAATATCAGTTTTTAAGCAATCAATTTAGATGTGAAAACAAAGTTTAGGTGATATCAAAATAAAATATGAAATTATTGAACTTATTTGATATATTCTAAAAAAATCTGACGGCGGGAAATTATTAGACCAAAGCCAAATAATCGAATTTCCCTTCAATGAATGTGTAATAAAATCATCAAAAATTGATCAATACCGATAACAGAACCAATAACAAACGCATGTAAGTCTTTGAATACTTTACATTAAAATATAGTTACCTTTCTTCTTAATTGTTATAGTACGTATTCTATTGTAATGGACTCTCCCACAGATAATAAGTAGGAGTAGCGGTCGCCAGTTCGGCTCAGTGGTGTTGAGCGAGTCAGACGATATCGGACATTGAAGTACAAACAATCACAACTAGATTTTCTGCGTCATTAACTCTTATTTCCAAGTTCTTAACGTTTTGTACGTCGAACCTAATTTAGGACGACTTATTGAAATACATGCCTCCACCGTGAAAAGTACTCTACAACAGGTTGATATGCCGTAAACCAAACCAAATCAATCATCTAAACAAATTCTGTCAAATTCAACCGACAATTACTTTCAGTTTAATTATTTCTTTTGTTTGTTTTGCAATTTGGGTATTCATTTTGTTGCTCAGCAATATTTTTTAATGGTAGTCTATAAAGAATCGAAGCTGACCCAACCTAACACAAATTGTACGTCGAACCTAATTTAGGACGACTTATTAAAATACATGCCTCCACCGTGAAAACTACTGTACAACATTAATAACAGCCAGTAATCTGTTATCCATTAATTTTATTATATTTTTTTAAAATTCAGCTGGTTAAATTTCCGACATGGTTCTTTTAACTGCTTCCCATAGGTCTCTTGTACTGTTATATTGTTTGCCACCTTCATATAATTTCATCTTCACAATTGACCATAGGTTTTTCGTCAGCTTCAGGTCAGGACTTGATGATGGCCAATATATTATCTTCTCTTTTGTAAAGTTTTCATGTTCAAAGAATTCACGATATATGAGAAGCATTGTTGTGCATAAGTTCACACTTCACTTTGAAACTGCGAGACTGGAACTTGTACATGTAAAGAAAGTCACGTTCATAAAATTCCAAGAGTTAGCACTTCTCAGTTTAACTCCTTCATAGACTTTGAATAGTCCACAATTCTAGCCTATATCATAAAAACAACTGTCGCCTTTTAGCCAGAGGCGCGTCTGGATTGGATAAAATCTATCCTTTGGCCTATCCATCAGGTCCATCAAAGGTCACTCTAGATTCGCCCTTGAAAATTTAGAAAAGTCAATTGTCATGTAGTTTTTGGCCCAATTTTGACGCTTCAAAATATTTGCTTCAGTGAGAGGAATTTGCTTAGGATACTTTTTTTTGCTCCCCGGAATCGATCCTCCAGATCTACAAATCAACAATTCGCCCTTGCATGGAGTATTGCTGCCATACATGGTCTGGAGTCCCTTCTGTTTGCCTCGGGGTTCTTGATAGGATCCAGAGGCGGATATGCAATATAATTGGCCCTGATCTGGCATCTCGTCTACAGTCACTTTCTCACAGACGCGCCGTCGCCTCTCTCTGTCTTTTCTACAAATACTTTCATGTCAACTGCTCCGAGGATCTGCATTCGCTGGTTCCCAAACTTCATGAGTTCAAGCGCCCGACGAGGCTGGCATCCCGCTCTCACCCCTTCACTGTCGAAACTCCTAAATGTAGCCGTCTCTTCTACTCTAATAGCTTCACGTCTCGCACCTCTCGCCTGTGGAACTCCCTTCCCTATTCTAGTTTCCCTGAGAGCTATAATCTCCAGCTATTCAAATGTAATGTCAATCGACATCTCCAATTGCCTTGATCTATCCACTACCCTTCTCCTCATCCTTTCTTCTATCACTCCCATCTGATTTTGCTCCAAATTTTCTGTAACCCCTTGCATCCTAGTGGCTTCCCGCCTTGCTTGGGGTGAAACGCTTAAAAAAAAAAAAAGATAAAATTACACTACACCTTATGTCCTTCTTGACTTCAACAATTGCGGCCTTTTCAAAGATCGAAACACTAGTTAAAAGCGGTTGCTTCGATATAACTCGCTTTAGTTTTCGTTCATATCGAGGAAGCGAGTTGTTAAAGCCATTTCATTTGCTTCAAGTTCTCTACTTAGTTATATTTACAACAGCCTTCTTTAACGTTCGATTATCTCTACAAAGCATCTTTGATATCTCCAATGTGAACCTTCCCTCACCCAATAAATTATTTGCTGTTTTTCAGCATTTGTTAGATCTTCCACCCATGTTTCAGCATATATTATGGGCAAAAAGAAAAAATAGTTTTTATTAGATTTCAGAGGTCTTAAGATAATATTAATTTAATCTGCATATTAACTTCAGTCAGACCATTTTCGTACATTCCAGATATCTCAAAAATTAACCATTAAAATGAAAGAAAGTTTATTTAAATATTCTACTAAGGGTGGGAATGAAAGAGTTTCAATTTGACAAATATTGGTTAAAAACCTTTGGAGTTAATGACGTTTATTTGATTTGCATAATAACTTCAGACCAGCTGAATGTATGTTTCAGTTTGTTCATATCTATCTATCTATCTATCTATCTATCTATCTATCTATCTATCTATCTATCTATCTCAATCCGTTCATTTAACTTAATTTGTCCTTATCTATCTCAATTTGTTCATATGTATCTATCTATATATCTCAATTTGTTCATATCTATCCCTTTATCTATCCGATTTTGTTCTATCTATCTATCTATCTATCTATCTATCTATCTATCTATCTCAATCTGTTCATCTAACTCATTAATTTGTTCTTATCTATTTATCTTAATTTGTTCATATATGTATCTGTCGATATATCTCAATTTTTTCATATCTATCTCTCTATCTATACGAATTTGTTTATATCTATCTATCTATCTATCTATCTATCTATCTATCTATCTATCTATCTATCTATCAGAATTTGCGTAATAAATTCAGACATATGTAGGAGATCATGGCTCTCCACAATATCTTGTCATTTGTAGCTCATAGCAATGTTTGTACTTTTGCTATATCTCCCACTGCCTGTTCTGTCAACCATTTACAAGAGATTCTTAGGCAGGTTATTTTCTCTTTCCCTTTTAGCTTGGTTTGTTATATTCTTTTACATGTGAAAAACTATAAAAAAAATCAGAGGAGTTAACGGTTCCGACCCGCGTCTCAGACTTTTGTTTGTTCAAACCATTTAAAAAAAAAAAAAAGCCTAAGGATTCCATTATTTTCTGTCACGGTTCAAAGTAGAGTGGGTAGTTCCTTTCTTTGAAATGAGATGCGAGAAGGAATTGTCTTTGAAGTTACCTTCTTCTAGCCTTTGTCTAGAGCTAGAGAGACAAAACTTACAAGATGGATTCGTACCTTTCTCTGTATTTGAACCTAAGTTGAATGCAGCGAATTCGACTGGAATTCGAACCCTGCTCTCCAAATTCTCCACCGAGCCTCCAGGAAAAAGGGACCAGTTCCTCTTATATGAAAACTCGGCGCAAAACAAAAAAACCCCCAAAAAACAAAACAAAAAAAAAATACCCCAAAAACTATAGTCAAAGACAAAGGAAATTTAGAAAAAAACTTATTGTCACATTAACCCCATAAATAATCATCAGAAATGAATGAAGGAAATAAATTTAAATTGAGTCCCAACGTCTCTTGGATACACAAGAATTAGTCACAGCATATAATTCTTTATGACACAAAATCATATCGATTAGTCAATCGATCTTCGGGATGGGCGGCAAAAGCTCTCGGACGTTTATCTGCGGACCACACTTACTGTAT